GTGAACACGATGCTGTTTCAGATGGTCGCCGTACCCACAGTGGCAGCATGCCAGGCATGGGCTTCCATTGGAACATTCTAGTTTAACGTGGGTTTTTATTTTCATTTGAAAGGGGAAATTGCCAACAGCCAATGAATGTTTTTGGCATGCTGTCCTTTTTTTTTTGCAAGTTACAAACAGTACCAAAGAATCCTAAGGTTTGTCAAAATAACAAGCCCAGATGATGTTTTCCCCCCTTTCCCTGCATGTTCCAAGAATGCAAAATAAACAGTGTTATCAAGCCAACCAGTAATAGGTGGCAGATGTTTGCTTTTCCAGAAAGTTGCTACTCCTAATGTACCAACTGTTGCGCCAGCTGCCACTAAAACCACCAATAATAAAATCAGATCCCTGGGAAACTTGGCAGGACTTCCAGGCCTAAACCTAGCAAAAGTGCCGTGAGGCTTTACTGGAGTCCATAATCACTCGTATAAATGGGGGTCTCCATGCCAGGGACTCTGGATTTGGAAGCTCAAGCGACACATCTTGGAGAAGTCAGTTTGATGCCCTTACTTCCTCTGAACACCATTTGCTACTATGATGCAATTTAGCAGGGGTAAGATGCCATCTTGCTATCCATGATGTCCATGATCTCATTGAAGTCTGTTGGATTTTGAAATCATGGTGGGAAAGGCCAGCTAAGAAGTATCAGAAATCCTGGTCCTGGGGTGGCAAGGCCCACACCGACAATAAGCGGAGACAGTCAGGAAGGAGGGAAGGCTCAGTGCAAGCAGTAGGGAACCTTTCTCTCATCTTGGTGCTGCACTCGGTGACTTCCTTCCTCTCCTTCTGCAGCGGATGTCTCTGGCGTCGACTGGATGGTGAGGCACGGACGCAGCATGGCGCTTTCGGTGGCAATCAACGTGGCCCCGAGCCGAGTCTGTGCCCCCAAATTCAGCAACAGCGTCCATGAGATGATTTTTAGCAATACCCTTGCTGACCGGGTAAGTATGACCATCTAATTCTGGAAGATTTCTTTAGGGCTTCTCGTGATGAACTCGGGAAGAGAATTGATGCATCATGAACAACGCTAAGCTGTGCTTAAACGTCCATGGAAGGCTCAGTCGGCCCCCTTCTGAGAGAAATCCCACTTAGTTCCGATCATCTTCCAAAGGTTTGCTGAAGCCACGTGGAAATACCCCAATGGTAACATTGCAATTGATTTCTGTGTTCCAGATCCCAATTGCTATCAGTGGCCTCAGAGGGATGGGTTTTCTCATGAAGTATCACATAGAGTCAAATGAGGGAAACTTGCCTCCCAAACTCTCCACTCTTTTCATTAAGGTGAGTCCCCAAATTGTTTTTTTTCTGAAGTATGATGTAGATGATGGTGCCTAATAATACAGTGTTCCCTTGCTACTTCGCGGTTCGCTTTTCGTGGACTTGCTGTTTCGCGGGTTTTTCCCTCCTCAGTCCTCCCTCTCTCCAGCCTTGAAGGGCCTTTCCTTCCCTCTCTCGCTCTTCACCCGGCGAAGGGAAAGGCGAGGAAGGCTTGTTTCCTTCCCTGACGCGTGAGCGGGGAAGAAGGGGGAAGATGAAGAAGAAGAGGAGGAGGAGGAGGGAGAGGAGCCAGCGGGAAGTGGGGTGTGCAAGGGGAGGGTGGAGGGAGGGTGGGAGGCAGGCAGATGAGCGAGCCCCCCTCAAGAAGGGAGGAAGGACAGCCTTGGTGAAGTGCCACCTTCACTCTTCCCCCACCTTTCCCTTTGGGGAGGGAGGCAAGGAGGGAAAGGGGGACAGCTTGCTTAGCTCTGGGGAGCGCAGAAGCCGGCTGCTGGAGTGGCAGAACTTGGAGAGCAACAAGGAGGAGGAGGAGGAGGAGGAGAGCAAGGCCAGCGCAGTGCAGCTCCTGCTCCCTTTCCCTCTCCTTCCTAACCTGCGAAGAGAGAGGGGCTTTCCCTGGCCAGTCTCTCCAGTGCCTGGTCTGGGCCTCGCTTCCTTCCTTGACCTCCTCTTCCTCTTCCTCCTGCTCCTAGGCCCCGGGCAGGCCTTGAATGGACACCTCATGGGGACAGGGGAGGGAAGGACCAGGACCAGCCGCCTGCCAGAATCAGGGGCTGGATGTTCCGCCGCCGGTGGGAAAGGAGGGCCTGAAGATGAGGCAGCGCCGGATCCTGGGGAGCGGGGAGGAAGGGAACAGGAAAGAGGAGAGGAAAGAGTAGGTGGAGGGATTGAGTGAGTGAGAGAGAGGGGGGGGGGAGAGTGGGCGGAGCATCCCTCCTTTGTGGATTTTCACTTATTGCGGGTGGTCCTGGAACATAACACCTGCGATAAGTGAGGGAACACTGTAGTTGTTTTTACAGACTATATTCACATGTCAAGACCCAGATTTTTCACATGACCACTTTTCTTTTTCTACATAAGAGGTGCCTGTGGCAAGAGTGGGATTGATGGGTTCCTCCTTGGCCCATTGAGGTGTGAGCATCCCTCCTGACATCATCCCCTTGCTCTCCCTGCAAGCTCTTGCACAACTCTGGCCTTTCCTAGGACGCTGCCAGGACTAACACTTGTCTCTTGGTTCCCTGCAGTGTCTCCAGAACCCTTCCAGCGACATCAAACTAGTTGCGGAGAAGATGATTTGGTGGGCCAACAAAAGCCCGCTCCCACCCTTGGAGGCCCAGGCGGCAAAGCCCATCCTCAAGGCCCTCTTGGACAACACGAAAGACAAGAACACCAGCGTTAGGGCCTACAGTGACCAGGCCATTGTCAACCTCCTGAAGATGCGGGAGGGAGATGAGCTCCTACAGGTAGGGACTCCTTTCCCCACTTTCTACAGTGCTGTTTCTGAGCTCAGGACACAGTGATAGGCAAAAGCAGACTGCAGGGATGTTTCTCTGCGTTCACATGCTAGGGACTGTGTCAGGAAGACACAAGTGGAGTGTTTTACTTGTTGATCCAAGTATTTATAACTCTGACTTCAACAATTCACATGTTGAAAATCCTGGCATCAGTTTTTTGCATTTCCGCGCCTGCTAACCAGTGAGGCAACAATTGGAGGGGGGACATGTTCCCTTATTTATTTAATTTGGCTCTTTTATTCACCTCCCACTGTTCTCTCCTACCTGGGAGTTGGGAGGTGTTATAGACATAATGGCTGAAGGTTCAGGAGGAACAAGGAATGCGAGCAGAGCTGTAGAGAACTTTTACAATCAGGCTGAGCCAATACCTTGAACCAAGTGGTGTGTTGACAGAGTGATGAAGTGCAGCTACCACCAGTGGATGGAAATCAATGCCAGGTCCTGTTTGTAATTTCCCCAAAGTATGTAGCTGGCTCCCATTCAGGCACAGGTCTGAATTTAGTTGTTAGTCCTAACTAGAGCATCACGAATACCTGAATAGCCCATCAGTGCTTAGTGTACATCCCAGTCATCTAGTGGTGTCAATCATACAATAGGATCAAAGTGTTGGAAGAGACTGCATGGGCCATCCAGTCCAACCCCCTTCTGCCATGCAGTAAAAGCACAATCAAAGCAGCCCTGACAGAGGGCCATCCAGGGTCTGTTTGAAAGCCTTCAAAGAAGGAGGTTCTACTCCACTCCCAGGCAACATATTCAACTGTTGACTCGCTCTTCTTGCAGCCAGGAAGTGCTTCCTAATGTTCAGGTGTAATCTCCTTCCCTGTCATTTGAACCCTTACCTCCGTAGTCTCCAGGGAAGCAGAAAACTGAAACACCTGTTTGGGAATGTAGGCCATAGGCAGCAGAACTAGCAGGTTGTGAGCCAAGAATTTTGTCTAACAGACTTTGAAATGAAAGTGGGGCCGGGTATACGGAGGGCAGTGGTCTCTAAGTGGCAGCATCTGTGGCTTTGGCCTTGCTCTTCTTCCCTTGATGATGGTTTTTGCCCTTCTTTGCAGGCTGTCTCCAGAATCCTGGATGGCGCCAGTTTAGAGCTGCTGAACGAGAGCTGCCGCCGCTCCCTCAAGAAACTGGCTGGCCAAGCCGACTCTTTTGAACAGATTGACGACACCATCCTGACGTGAGTCCGGCGGTGCAGGAGCAAAGCCCGCCCTGGGATCTGCCGCTGCTGGCCTCAGAGTTACGAACCCGATGGAGACGTTTTCATTTTTGAAAATGCTAATTCTGATGGGAGCTGATTTTAAGGGGAAAGGGGCTTCCAAGTATTTTAATAAAGAAATATACCAGAATAGCCTTAATTAGAGTTCTGTTTAAAAGAGGCGGGGAAAAAATGAATTTCCCCCCTCCCCTTTTTGGAAATTTGGTTGTTGGTTCGGTGGGCAATTCTCCCTCTCTGTGTTCAAAGCCCTGTTTCAACTCTGCATAAAGTGGGGATTGTAATCCTGTGAAAGTCAAGCGGTTTGTTGTGGTTCTGAAGGCGGCAGCTTCTGCAAATCAAACTATTTCAAGAGCCTTGGAAATTTAAAGGCAAAAGGGGGATGAAAAGCAAGCTGTTTGATTGGCAGTTTAATAAAAAAAATACTTTGAACATTACTCTGGTGCTAGAGTATTATTCCAGCCCTCCAACCCGCTTGCTCTGGTATCGGTTGATACGGATTGGCTGCCGCTCACTAAAAGAATCCCACAATTCTTTGCTTGCAGAATTCAATGCTCTTGGAAGCGGAGCTATTTTCAACATGTGCTTCTGCAAGACTTCCTTTTTTGCTGCCTGTGGAGTAGAGAGATACTGAAGCTTGCTACCTTATGGGCCTGTGTACCTGCTGCCCTAGGATCCTATCTCCCACCAGTGACATTATTTCATACTTAGGTCCTTCTTGCCAACTTAAGACATAGGCCAGCATATAGCGAAGGAGGCCCAATCTAGGTCACAAGGTATGCAACAAAATTCTCCATTCTTCAAAACATGATAGGGAGAGTATCAACAGGGCATCAGCTTTGCGTCTCCTTTGTGGAGAGAAAAAGTGGGGTATACATTACCATAATAACAATAATATGATTATATGAAGTCTATTTCTGTTCTAAAGAAGACTCTCAAGTACACCATGATGTAGTTGCAGTTTTTAATAAATCGGAAGTCAGAAAGTTTCAAAACCGTTAATGAACATAACACAGGAAATTGAGAGAAATCGAACAATGACCATTTCTGGCGCTGATCACTACAAGGATTGACCAGGTCACTCAGATGGAAGCAGGCACAATACTGCCCCCATCACAACACACCAAACCAAACATCTACAAACTCAACAAACTTTAACTGTAATGTTAAAATAACTTGGGTTGTTCAATTCTCTTGTGAGAATGAGCAGTGGGTAGCCCTTGAGGTAGTGCTTGGGCCTTGCCTTCCAGTCAGTGCCAACCATATTGCTCCAAAGATAGACTCTTCGGCTATTGGTGTGTTGTCTTCTCAGACCACCGGCGGGGCACTGTGTGGCTTTGGGATCGAGACCCGAGACCTCAGCCACTTTTTGAAATCTTCCGCGGGCATCTGAATGACATATTCGCGCAGAAACTGTGAAAGAGAGTCAGACAAGAGTAACCGAATGGGATTGCACTGGTGGAACAGAACAATTGTTTCCAGAAGGGCAGCTGTCTTTGTAGGGAGCTGGCTCCTTCATGGAGTGTGGGTGTTTTGCCAACAACCCTGAGATTGATCTTTCCGGTTATTGACAAACTTTGGCACCAGAAATCCACACTGATCTAAATTGCCCAGAGATCTGTGAACAGTTTCAGATCAAGCAGGACAGGAGACCGAACTCACAGCTAAGATGATTTAGGACCCTTCAAATAAGAAAATAGCATAAGGCGGGTTGGCTTAAGTCAGCATTTCTCAACCTGGGGGTTGGGACCCCTGGGGGAGTCATGAGAGGGTTTCAGAAGGGTCGCCAAAGACCATCAGATCCATATATTTCTGATGGTCTTAGGAACCCCTTTGGTAGAGAAGGCTGAAGCTCTCTCTGCCTGCCCTTCTCTTCCTTTATGGAAACAAGAGGGCAAATCCCCCCACCAAAAGCCCTCCTCCGCTGTGATTGGCCGCCCTCTCAGCTGGCCTCTTAGCCAAGAGGAGGGCTGTTTCTGAGATTTGAAACAGAGAGGGGAGAGCAGGCATGCTCAGCACACGGCAGCGTGATGCACTGCATGGGTGAGAGAAAGCGTGTGAGGCTGGAGGGAGGCTTGCGGCAGCAAGTCCCTTCAAGGCATGTGGGAAGTTTGGCCCAGTTCTATTGTTGGTGGGGTTCAGAATGCTCTTTGATTGTAGGTAAACTATAAATCCCAGCAACTACAACTTCTAAATGTCAAGGTCTGTTTTCCCCAAATGCTACCAGTGTTCACATGGGCATATTAAGGATTCATGCCAAGTTTGGTCCAGATCCATCATTATTTGAGTCCACAGTGCTCTCTGGATGTAGGTGAATTACAAGTCAAGGTCAATGTTTACCAGACCCTTCCAGTATTTTCTGTTAGTCATTGGAGTTCTGTGTGCCAATATTGGTTAAATTCCATCATTGGTGAAGTTCAGAATTGAACTTCATAAATCCCAGCAACTACAACTCCCAAATGACAAATCAATCCCCCCGCAACCCCACCAGTATTAAAATTTGTATGTATCAGATATTTGTGCCAAATTTGGTCCAGTGAATGAAAATCCATCCTGCGTATCAGATTTTACATTATAATTCGTAACAGTAGCAAAATGAGTTATGAAGTAGCAACGAAAATACTTTTATGGTTGGGGTTTACCACAACATGAGGAACTGTATTAAGGGGGTCTCAGCTATAGGAAGGTTGAGAACCACTGTCTTAAGTGAATGCACGCCACCTTAGATGACAGTGAGCTTACTTTTAATAAAGGCGTCAGAAAATGGTCTTGGGGCTTGAGGGATTTCAGAGGAACGCCGCTTACCTGCACAGCCGAAGAGACGTCCGGAGAGCAAAGCTCCCAGATCCGAAGGCCTCCCAGGACTTTCAGGAAAGTGAGCGGCCGGATGCGCAGGTCGGGGTTCCTGGCAAAGCGCTGGAGCTTCTTCAGTATCTTCTGGGTGCGATGCTCTTCCCTGGCGTCCGCTGGGATCTTGGCCAGCAGAATGGAAAACCTGGGAAGCGCGACGAGAACCAAAGGGAAATGAAGCAAGTACGAGATGACAGAGACATTAATTACAATCAATATTTAAGAGACAAATAACCTGGTCAGGAAAAAATTCGGAAGTCAACCAATAAGAACTTTCTGTTTTTACTTTTACTTTTTTTCTATTCCTTTTTCAACATTTTTTCTTTTTTTCTTTTTTCTATTTTTATTTTTATTCCTAATTTATTTATTTATTTTCTTATTGTTTCATTTTTAGTGCCCCCCTTTCCCCCCCTCTTTTCCCCCCCCAGCCCTCTTATCACTATTCCCACTTGTAAGGAAACCCCTTCACCCTTTCTCCCTTAGTTAATTCTCTTCTTCACCCCCAAATTCTTTTACTTTCCCACTGAATTCCCAAATTTGATTTTTTCCTTTTTCTCCCCCCCCCTTCCCCCCTCTCTCCCCTTAAAAATTCAATAAAAAATATATATATTTAAAAGTACCAAAGGGTTCAAAACCCTACTGCTGACATTCCCTTTTGTAATTAACTTTACTTAAAATGCTTTAAAAGTTACATTAAAAGTAAAAAAAAATGAATCAAGAAAAGAAGTACAGAACAGAAACACACACACAAAATGCCAAGAAAAAAAAAGAAAGAGAAAAGGAAAGGAAAAAATAGATGACCTCCAATCTATTCTCACCTGGTCAAAAGAAAACAACGTAAACGTCACCCTCTAGTCCCGTGGTTCTCAACTTGTGGGTCCCCAGATGTTTTGGCCTTCAACTCCCAGAAATCCTAACAGCTGGTAAATTGGCTGGGATTTTTGAGAGTTGTAGGACAAAACACCTGGGGACCCACAGGTTGAGAACCACTGCACTAGGCCTCCCAATGGTGACTCCTTTCTCGAACAAAAAACTCCCCCTCAAACTATTCTTCACTACTCAACATTGGCAAGTCCTTCTCTTCCTCGTGCAAAAAGTGAACAAAAAGTTTTCAGTCTTTCATTTTTGTCCCAATGTCCCTTCTTTTAGTAAACATGTTAGTTTGTCCATCTCGGCCAAGTCCATCATTTTTAATGTCCAGTTCTCTGTTGTTGGTGTTGCTGAGTTCTTCACCTTCTGTGCATAGAGCAATCTGGCTGCTGTGGTCACGTATTGCAACAGTTTATCAGAGTCATTTGTATCAGTCAGATCAAGTAGAAAAGTCTCAGGTTTTAAACTGGATATTTCCCCCAAAACTTCCTGGGTCACCTTATGTATTTGAATCCAATATTTCTTGGTATGCTTACATGTCCACTTTTTTTTTGCATGCCAGGAGCAACTTGAGAAACTGCAAGTCACTTCTGGTGTGAGAGAATTGACTGTCTGCTAGTATGTTGCCCAGGGGATGCCCGGATGTTTTATCATCCTTGTGGGAGGCATTTCTCATGTCTCCGCATGGGGAGCTGGAGCTGACAGAGGGAGCTCATCCACGCTCTCCCCGGATTCGAACCTCTGACCTGTTGGTCTTCAGTCCTGCTGGCATAAGCGTTAAACCCACTGCGCCACCAAGGGCTACATGTCCACTAAATATGGTAGAAAGGACCCCACTTGCTGTTTACATTTCCCAGTTGACATTCTCAAGAAATGATTTCTAAGCTCACAATCGCAGACTGTGGCCCTTCCAATACCCCCATATTGCTGCCCAGAGTGGGTACGCACCCTCTCCTAGATTCCCGCATCTCTGTAGTAATACCAACACGCATTAGGCATGTTCAAATGATGGGCTTTCACTCAACCTTTTGGACAAAGAGGCCAAGTTGCTGGAAGGATGCTGGGAGCTCTCCTCCACAAAAATAACCCCTCCAAGCCTTGCTTTTGTGGGCTTGTAGAACTGCCACACATTAGGCAAAGGTTTCCTTTGACCACGTAGACAGCCTCCTCTCCTTCTTGTCCTCCTGGGCTATTGCTTTCCTTTCTCCATGGGGCCTTTAGCCTTTTGCCCCACTGCTTACCAGTTCTCGGCCTCAGCTTCTTGAACCGGTTCCTTCCCCACGGTTGCCTGCCTCATCCATTCCATGTCTTTCCGGAAATTCTTGAGGCGGCCCAGGCATATGTATTTTTGGATGCTCCTCTCCTCTCTCCTCCTGCCAAGGGAATGAAACAAAACAGAGTCTTGGCCCAAACATTGAAGACAGGACCCATGGCAGCCAACGCGGCCCACCGACATGGGATACATGGGACATATTTCTCCCACGACCAAGATGGCAACCCATCTCTGACGTGCCTTTCCAGGATGTCCAACTGATCGTGAATCCGGAAGGCGCACTCCTGAGCCACGTCAAAAAAGCGCTTCTTCATCTCATTGCACAGTTCTTCCTTCTTCCGGATGAAGGATCTAGAAGTGGAATGGAAGTGAGGCAGAGATTGGAGTTCAGCATCAAGAGAAAGGATAGATAGATGCCTGAGGTGGAACCCAGATCATGGCCACTTTCCAAATGGCCCTTCCAATAATAATCGTGGGGAGATCTGGATTCGAACCTAAAAGCAAGGGCACTCAAGAGGTCTAGCTGTCAAGGGCAATGCCATTAGAAGGCCACACATGTGACCAATTCACAACTCATGTTCTGACAACCCCCCACCCCCAAAATGACAGGTTTGCCTTTGGGTTGCCATACATTGGAAATGGACGTGAAGGCCCACAAAAACCATTTCAAGCGCTGGGCTGGATTGCATCCTGTATTGTAACAGCAATTGTGAAACCTTTTTGCAGCTTTTAGTGTGATTGCAGAATTATAGCCTTCAAGGAGGAAATGCACATAATAGTGGGCTGACGGCTCTGACTGAGACACCAACAAAGGAGCTATTTCCTCTCCCCCAGGAGCCTCTGAACAAACAACACCCAGAACGTGGGCCATAGTTTGTGTCCATCTCCGCGTATTTCCAGCTCAGCCCTGTGTGAATCCTTTTAAAAGATGCCATGACTAATCTATATCCAGGAGGAGGGGGAGGGCCCTCAAGCTCCTTCCTTAGAAGCTTTGAAACAGGCTGGATGGCCATCAGTCTGGGGGGCTTTGATGGTGCTTTTCCTGCATGGCAGAATGGGGTTGGACTAGATGGCCCATGTGGTCTCTTCCAACTCTCTGATTCTTGGGACCCATTGACCTGCTGCGAGGTTTGCGGGTCTACGAGGGTTGAATGAAAAATAATGCCTCCACCTTTGTTACTTGGGTTTGGATGGGAATATTTTAATAAATCAAATGCAGAAATGGTTGTTGTGGGTTTTTTGGGCTATATGGCTATGTTTTAGAGGCATTCTCTCCTGATGTTTTGTCTGCATCTATGGCAAGCATCCTCAGAGGTAGTGAGGTCTGCAGAAATAATCTTTAGAATGTGCTCTTTAACGACCACTATTCACTTTTCTACATAATCACCAGACAATTGGATACATTTCTGCCAACGATGAATAAGTTTTTTGATCCGTCACGGAAGAAGTCGACAATCTGTTTCCGCAACCAGCGTCTCACAGGTCTCTCAACGGCTTCATTAGAAGCATAATGATGTCCCAGCAGATCTTCTTTCATTATCGGGAACAGATGGAAGTCAGATGGTGCTAAATCTGGACTGTATGGAGGATGTCGTATGGTGGTGAGATCCAGTCTCTGAAGTTTCAAGTCTGTGTGCTTTCATTTCAGGCGTCAGCATCCTGGGTACCCATTGTGCACAGATCTTCCAATAGCCAAGCAAAGCAATAATGTGACCCACACGTTCTTGTGAAATGCCTATTCTGCTTGAAATTTCTCTCTGAGTGATACGAGAATCGTTCTGAATCAATCTGTCAAACTTTTGCTTGTGAAACCTGCATGAGGCCATTCCACAAGGGCGGTTTCCATGTCGGTGGCCTTCATGAGAGGTGTCTCCTTGGATGCAGTCTGCCGAACGGCGACCTGGTCATCTCCTCTCACCTTTGTGTCACACTACAAGATGCCTCCATGGCATCTCCAAGAGAGATGCCATGGAGGTTCTGATCAGCCCGCCTCCGATGCCGCAGCCTCCGACATCGGCTGCTTCGGCACGGCCCGTGGGAAGCTCTCCCTTAGACTCTGTGCAGGAGCTGAGACCCGGGAGCAGCGATGCCGGGCCCCCACCCCTTTCGGGGCCACTTCCATTAGCCCCGGAATCCCCGACATCGGCTCGATGTGCGGGAAGAGGCGCCAGGAGGAGGGCAAGATCCCCCTCACGCCGATCCCACCGGAGCAGTAAGAGGGGCCGTCACTACCGGTCCCCCTCCAGATCCGGATCCACCTCATCTTCTTCCTCTGCCTCCTCCTCATCCTCGTCATCCCTTTTTCTTCTGCCGCGATGACTGGGCCCCGTTCTCCTCAGGTAAGTCAGCCTCCCCGTTGGTTTCATGGCCCAGTAAAAGGTTCAAAGGGCAAGAGGGGAGGAGTGCCCATTCGTATAGGGTAGCTTTTAATCTAAGCTCCCTGTTTTTTCGCGTCTGGGGGGTGAAGGCCTGGCAGATCGAACAGGCCTGTGTGAGATGCCCTTCCCCCAGGCAAGCGAGGCACAAAGAGTGTCCATTGTTATCCGGATAGTTGTTAGGGCACCTGGCACAACGTTTGAAAGATGTTGTGGCCGACATCTCGGGTACACAACACAGGAGACAACGAAGATCACAAAAAAGGCAGTCCAATAGCAAAGTACAAACCGTACGCACAAGAGAAAAGATTCCCTAAGCTCGCTCAGGAGGAATGAGAGAACTGAGAAGCTAGGGCCCGCCCACTGGCTATTTATGGGGCCGGAGGGGAGTGGGCGGGCTTGGTATAAATCTATCATTTTATCTTTCTAGAAGGTTCCGAACTGCTCTGCGCAGGCGCAGGAAATACCACATGTATGAATTCACAGGGACCATGACAGGGAACAAGCCAGTACCTGCTGCATACTAGTACTGCCGTCTGTTGAGGAGTTACGGAGGTGGAGGCATTACTTTTCATTCAACCCTTGTACTTTGAATGGTCTTCCTGTGTGTGTGTTTCCCTCCCAGTTTTATCCGGTCAGAGTACTTCAAGAACAGGGAGGCAAACTAAAGTCATCAATATGTTCTACACCAGTGGTTCTCAACCTGTGGGTCCCTAGATGTTTTGGCCTTCAACTCCCAGAAACCCTAACAGCTGGTAAACCGGCTGGGATTTCTGGGAGTTGTAGGCCAAAACACCTGGGGACTCACAGGTTGAGAATCACTGCTCTACACCCAGTGAGACCATGACGGGACTGAGATGGCGCTCAGGAGATCAGGTTGAGACCAGGGCCTCGATTCAGATGCCAGAAACCAACCTACCCCTTCAGCCTCTGCTCCACTGGTGTCCCTTCTCTCATGGTTCCTGCGCTGCCTCTGTCGTCCTTTGAAGACGAAGCGGAGCTGGAAAACAAAACATGCTACCTGAGCCATGGCTCCTCCAACCCAGGAGGGAACTTAGCTTGAGAGGAGCTTGCAAAGACACTTCTGCCATCCTCAAATGAAGCAATCCCCAAGGCAGAGGTGAACTGTAAAGAAAAAGCAAACTGCAGAGAGACAGCTCTCTTCCATAGCAAGGCAGTCGATCAAAGGAACTGCTGGTACAGCAGCCAAGACACTAAGGTTTAGCAGAAGTCCGGAAATATTAGTTTCTATCTGCACTGGCTACCATGATATTCCCATTCTTGCTTTACTTTTTTCACTCAGCATGGCATCACGCTTGCCGTGCCAAGGCTTGGCAAGAAGAGACCAGGCCCTGTGCATACCTCTAGGGCAATTGACAATGTTACTTCCAAGTTTTTGTCATGGGAAACAGCATGTGGCTGAGCTCAGAATCCTTTGATAGTATAGAGGCAACGGAATGGTTGCCCTGAACGGTTTGGGACCAGCCTACCTGCGTGACCGCATCTCCGTCTACGAACCCACGTGTTCACTTCGTTCATCTGGAGAGGCCCTGCTTGTGATCCCGCCTGCATCGCAAGCGCGTTTGGCTGGGACACGAGACAGGGCCTTTTCTGTGGTGGCCCCCCGACTCTGGAACACCCTCCCCAAAGATCTTAGACAGGCCCCTACATTGGCAGTCTTCAGAAAGAACTTAAAGACCTGGCTGTTCCGATGTGCCTTCCCAGAATAGGAAATCTCCAATACCAAGTCCCAGAAGCACTTTATTAGAACTAAGATTGCCGCACACTGCACACTGCACTTGCCCTATAATCCTTACATATCACCTGTCACATCAGCACTTTTAATTCTGTACCCTTCACTCTGGCCCGGCCCAGTTTTATTGTGTTTTGGTGTATTGTTTATTGCTTGTTGTTTTGTTGTTTTAATATTGCTTTAATTGTTTTTAATTTGCTTTAGGTTTGTATTGTTATGTTGTGTATTGAGGCCTTGGCCTTTGTAAGCCGCATCGAGTCCTTCGGGAGATGCTAGCGGGGTACAAATAAAGATAATAATAATAATAATAATAATAATAATAATAATAATAATAAATCTTGAGTCCCCAAATGGCCGTGGGCTCATTTCATTCCTATTCTACTCTTTTTTGATGGAATCCAAGACAGAGCCAGTCTCCTGGAGGTTGATGGGAAACCCAGACTGGCTTTACATCAAGCCAGTTGTGTTGCTGGCTAACCCCTACGCTGAGACTTCACCTGCAACACCCAAGCAGGAACATCAAGAAGGCGGCAATTGTGACCCCAAGTGCATGGGTGGATGGCACACGTGTCGTATATGGTTTTTGCATGGAGTGAAATATTGCTTGTAGTTTTAACTGTGTGATGTAGCCATGCATGAGTTAAAGCATAGGGCTGCGATGTACTGCCAGAGCATAACTTAAGACAGTTCCTGTGTAAGGCAGAAATGAAGAACTGATAACATTGGAATGTGCTTCTTGCAGTGTGTGCAGATGTGAACTGACGTGAGTTATTGTGTATATCAAAATAAAGTTAAGTGCCGCTTTGGTTTTTGAAGCAGAATTCAAGGAGTCCACTGCGTGATTACCTTTGTACCTTTGAGCACTCATTGTCCGAGTAAGACTTTCTTCCAAGTTCGGTGTTCTGGCGGTGGGTACGTAGGTGACTGTGGAGCCCATTCTTGACCTGCATGTTCTCCCGCAGTGAGGGCATTGGTTTCCAGGTGGAAGGCGGTCTCAGTCAGGGTTGGCTTGATGTGCCTTCCTCTTGGCATGTTTCTCTCTTTCACCCTCCATTTGTGCCTCTTCAAATTCTACAGCACTGCTGGTCACAGCTGACATCCAGCTGGAGCACTCAAGGGCCAAGGCTTCCCAGTTCATTTGTGCCTCTTCAAATTCCAGAGCACTGCTGGTCACAGCTGACCTCCAGTTAGAGCGCTCAAGGGCCAGGGCTTCCCAGTTCTCAGTGTCCATGCCACAGTTTTTAAGGTTGGCTTTGAACCCATCTTTAAATCGCTTTTCCTGCCCACCAACATTCCATTTTACGTTCTTGAGTTTGGAGAAGAGCAACTGCTTTGGGAGACGGTGGTCAGGCATTCGGATAAAATGGCTGGTCCAGCGGAATTGATGGGGGAGGACCATTGCTTCAATGCTGGTGGTCTTTGCTTCTTCCAGCATGGTGACATTTGTCTGCTTGTCTTCCCAAGAGATTTGAAGGATTTTTCAGAGGCAATGCTGATGGAATCGTTCCAGGAGTTGCATGTGATGTGTGTAGACAGTCCACGTTTTGCAGGCATATAGCAGGGTTGGGAGGACAATAGCTTTATAAACAAGCACCTTGGTATCCCTACGGATGTCCTGGTCCTCAAACACTCTCTGCTTCATTTGGAGAAAAGCTGCACTTGTAGAGCTCAGGCAGTGTCGTATTTCAGTGTCAATGTTGTCTTTTGTGGAGAGGTGGCTGCCAAGGTAGCGGAAATGGTCAACATTTTCCAATGCTACACCATTAAGCTGTATTTCTGGCATTGCAGAGGGATTGGCTGGTGACTACTGGAAGAGCACTTTGGTTTTCTTGATGTTCAATGACAGGCCGAGCTTCTCTTATGTTTCTGCGAAGGTGTTTAGAGTGGCTTGTCAAGGAAGACTGAGATTAAAAGAAGTGATTTATCTCAATAAATCAACAATGGCTATGGTCCATCCAGCAACGCCCCCCAGGCACATGGCATTCCTACCTTTTGACCCGCGGCCCAACAAACACCTCGCTCCCTGGCTCCGACCGGGTCGATACAGTGTGCGAACTGCAAGGGAAGAAGAAGCACAACCAGATTACTGTGAGTGGACACAGCCAGTCCACAGCTGATTTCTCCTCCATGAAAACCCACGAGAGGAACCTACTAGGGCTGCTTGATGTTGACAAGCGAATTTGCTTTGCTAAAATTCTTGGCCACATCTTCATGCACAATCTGGATCAGGGTCTGCAGGTCTATGGAGGGAGAGGGGGAGAGAGAGAGAGAGAGAGAGAGAGAGAGAGAGAGACAGGCCTTCATTACCCAAATGGTGTGCTTTGTTTTGGGGGAAATCATGGCTTCCCCACTGCAAACTCACAGTAGCTCATGGGCTCCTCCTCCTCCTTGGTTTGCTTGCTGTAGCAGGACTCTATGTCCTCCACATCCCTGGCGCTGTCGGAGGGCAGGTGGGCCGCCTCTTCTGAGCCAGGCGTCAGGGAGCTGGTCAACGTGGTCTTGCTATGCGGGGAGGAGAGGCCACTCATCTTGGAGCCGCTCCGGGCCACAGACTTCCTGGCCACCTTCTTGGCCTGGCTGTGGAAAAGTGGCCGCTGGCCAAACCTTTTACCCTGAGAGAAAGGCAAAAGAAAGCCTAAGAGGAGGTAGTCTGGGAGGAACAAGACCAGGATCTCTCTCTCACTCTCGGTCTCATTTCTATCTTTCTTCCCATGAATTCAGAGCTGTATGCTTGGCTCTCCTCCTTCCCACATATTTCAATCTAGTGCTCATAAGAGGCACCAATCAACCCTTCAGAGAAATATTTCAGCCTTTCAGAAAAGGCTGAAATACCTGTGGGCATGGATGCGGCTCCCTGACCTGATAGTCTCCACTCAGGCTGCAGTTCCCATTTAAACACTGCTAACATACTTTGCTGCCAGAGGCCAAACGTAAGCTCACGGCACCGTCTACTTTTCCACATATAAAGGCTGTCTGGACCTGGGGCTGAAAGCTGGTGACTCTATAGTGCCATGTGCTGCACCCAAGGGCAGCTAGCCCAGATCAGGGAATCAAACACACAATGGGTATAAACCATCTGGAAAAAGCATGCCAAATATATCAGCTTACTGTCGAGTGGGTGAGGAAGTGCTCCCATTGAGAGTGCAGGGTCTTTTCTCGAATGACCTCTTTCATGGTGCTTTTCCCACCTCCATAGTCCCTACATAAAGAGATGAGCAAATGAGTACTGCATTTTCACCAGCTTCTTTTTTTTTATGTCACATGAGTTTTAGCACAACTAGTGACAGACTCTATGTTGAAGAGCAAGGCTGGAAGGTGAAAAGCCAAATGCTTGAGGAAGGGCTCCAGTCCCTAGGCATGTACTGGGGACCTTTCCATCCATTGCCACAGCCTCTCTGCATATACCCAGGGACCTTGGGTGGTTGGGTGGTATGGCTTTCAGGCCAGCTTCTCAGGTTTCCATTTAGAACAGAGATGACCAGCTTGTAGGTAGATGCCCACTCGTCAAACCTTTCACCACATACAAACTTCCTAGCTAAACTGTGTGGGGTTTGAAGGTCCCTTTTCCCCAACTGCATGATATTCAGCGTTTCCTGCCATCCCCCAACTTCCCATCTCTCTCTCCTGGCCCATTTGCTGCTTACTTAGCATCCCAGCAGGTGATCAGAGGCCTCATGCTAGAAGTGGGCTCCAACGTCAACGCTTCCAGGAGCCAGTTGAGGACACAGAGCTGGCGGAACATGGGCTCGCTGTCAGAAACAAGAGAAGGATGGAGAGGGTTGGGATGCTCTTTCAAGAGCTCCATCTTTCGACATTGTCAAGACATCATTACTGAGGAGACCCCGGGAGAGCAACTACCGGGCCTTGGAACGTACTAGTGTGCATTTGGATGCCTTTTTGCCAGCAGGCCATTGTGGACTGGGGTGAAAGGTTGGATGAACCGCTTCTTCTTCTTCTTCTCCGTATCGCTTCGAAATGGAAACTCTGTTAGAAAACTTCTGAAGGAAGAGAAAGACAGCTGTCAGAAAACAAAAGGGCATTCTGTTTTCGTTCAGCATTGCCGATCCAATTTCGCTCTGTTCTTCTAACTCCCCGGCATTCCCTGGACCCATCTGCTCCAATTTTGTCCCAACAGCAGCTTATTACAAGGGTTAGGAGATGACCAACACTCATAGGATCATAAAATCCTAGAGTTGGAAGAGACCTCATGGGCCATCCAGTCCAATCCCCTTCCAAGAAGCAGGAAAATCACATTCAAAGCACCCCCGACAGATGGCCACCCAGCCTCTGTTTAAAAGCCTCCAAAGGGGGAGCCTCCACCAGAGTTCCCCTGCCGAACAGCTCTCACAGTCAGGAAGTTCTGGGAGGACTGGGAGTTTACATTGAAAGAATTAGTTAAAGGCTTGCCTTGTCTCATATTCTTTGAGCTAGTATAGATCTAGTCCTGAAGGAAAAAAGACTGGGGCATTGGTAACGCTAATTTGGGTGCAAGGGGCACAGCCATCTGATCGGGCATGCCCAGCAGGATTCACTTCTGCTGGCATCCTTCTCTCAGAAAGTCAGGAAGGAAAAGCCTTGGAATAACCTCACAGGGGGATAATGGAAACGGTTTCCTTGAGGAAACTCTTCATCAACCCCCCCCCCTCCCAATGGGATAAGATAAGACGGAGGTTGCATTTGGAAACAAAATATCCCCAGACATACTCGGTTAAAACCCTCACGGTCTCGTCTTCATCGGAGGATGAGGACGATACCGGTTTAGGAGGCTGAAACTCCGCCCGCAACCTCTCCTCTTCTTTCTGCTGTTCTATCAGGAGTGCATTCTTCCTCTCCTCATCTTCTTTGCGGAGCGTATAAAAATACCCACGGCCCCTCTTCACAGTGTTGAGCAAATGGCTGTTTAAAAAACAAGAGCAAGGCTGACAACCACGAAGGCAGCCAAGAGGGGGAAATGAGCAAATGTATACCGATTCTCATCCTTTGGGGGCTACCAAGCATTGAAAAGGGGGATGCTAAAGACTGCCGAGAAGTGGAAGCGTCTGCGGAGAGCTTCTCGATCATCCCTGCTCTTCCGAAGGCAACCTTCGCAAATCAGGAGAATTTGGGGAATGGTTGTAGATCACAACAAAGGGATGAGAACCACCACAAATTTGGAGCAAGACTCTTGGATCCTGCTGGAGTTGATATGCAGTTCTAGACCAGGAAAGGTGCCTTCTCCCTCTGGGGAAGTGACTTAGGGCTCAACTCCATTTCAGGGACTGAAAACACCGAGAACGGTATGGAAGAATTCAGAAGATCACAAACCATTAGTAACATTTCTAAAGTCTTAAAACTAATTCAAAATATCCATAGATCTGCATGTTGATCTAGTGCAGTGCTTCTCAACCTGGGGGTCAGGGCCCCTGGGGCGGTCGTGAGGGGGATGTCAGAGGGGTTGCCAAAGACCATAAAAAAACACAGTATTTTCTGTTGGTCATGTGGGAACTTTATGCCAATTCTCTTGTTTTTGAGATTCAGGATGCTCTTTGATTGTAGGTGGACTACAAAACCCAGCAACTACAACTCCCAAATGTCAAGGTCTATTTTCTCCCAGACTCCACCAGTGTTCACATTTGGGCATATTGAGTATTCGTGCCAGGTTTGGTCCAGATCCATCATTATTTGAGTCTACAGTGCTCTCTGGATGTAGGTGAACCACAACTTCCATACTCAAGGTCAATGTCCACCAGACCCTTCCAGTATTTTCTAACGGTTATGGAAGTTCTGTATGCCAAGTTTGGTTCAGTACCACCGTTGGTGGAGTTCAGAATGCTCTTTGATTGTAGGTGAACTATAAATCCTAGTAACGACAACTCCCAAATGACAAAATCAATCCCACTCCAACCCCATCAGTATTCAAATTTGGGCATATTGGGTATTTGTGCCAAATTTATTCCAGTGAAAGAAAATACATCCTGCATATCAGATATTTGCATTATGATTAACAGTAGCAAAATTACAGTCATGAAGTGGCAATGAAAATAATGTTATGGTTGGGGGTCACAACAACATGAGGAACTGTATTAAGGCGTCACAGCATCAGGAAGGTCGAGAAATACTGATCTATTAGTTTTAGCCATCTCCTGGGGATTAAACTTTCCGATCCCCATTCCCATCTGGTCAATGGAGAAAGTGGATCAGGGAACACAAGGCAGCAAGTTGCAATAAAAAAGAATGGGAGCCCAGGCCCAAACACAAAACTCCATCTGCTCTCATAAAAGATGTTTTAATGAATGGCAGGAAGAATGTCATGTTTTGCAACCCACCGACCAAAAAGTTAACTGACCCCTTCCTTGCGAGCCCATAAAATACTTCCATGCCAAGTGTTTGGATGGCAAAAGAAGGCAACCAAATTGAATGGTAGCCCAGTAGCCTAGTTATAGGACCAGCAGAGTCCTTCATTCTTCTTACCTCAAGTTAGGAGCCCATTGGAAACACCACATTGTTGCCCAGTGGTTTCCAAACTTTGGTCCTTTGGAACTTCAGCTTCCAGAAGTCCCAGAAGACCAACGTTTAAAAGCCTTTGCCTTAACCTATTTGCAACCATAGACTGCAGAGATGCTTCTCCTTCATCAGGATGAAAAACCTGATTATTGTATCCCCGTCTCCAAAGCTCTGAGCCTGGGCCTACAGCACAAACAAGAGGACTTTTCATGTTTTCTGCTAGCAACAAAAGCAAATATTTTCCCATTCACAAACCCACGTTTCCAAGGTTTGCCTTTCCGTTGCAACTTAATAAAATTAGCCGTTACCGCCAATGCGGCGAGGAAGTACGGGGCGTTCATTAAAATGCAAATGCGTTTTGTGGTGAACTTTGGAATGCATTTATTACGGTAATTGAGCTCCAGCCGACTGCGAGTCACAACACGGCTTTGCCGCCACCTTCCCGACAAAAGGGCATGTCTTTCTTGTAAACCAATATCTTTGTCAGTGGGAAAATTAAGAGCGCCTTTGGAGTGCTAATCATTTCTGCGGCAGAATACTCTGCCTGCTTTATAAGATTAAATTAATAGAGATAAAGGTCAGCCTCGCGCCATACCAAAATACGGAGGAAAGCACCCCACCAGCAAGCAAGCCAGTTGACTGCAAACAGGCTTTTTCAGGCTTAATGTAAGAGTCCATGTGTTCAATTATTTTAAACCCTTGTGTGAGTGTTTAATTGTAAAGCAGGATGAGAAAGGTATTAAGTCGGGCTTTTACCTCCAAAATTAATGAGGCCCGATCCATGTCTTTGCTGGGGGAAGACGCATGCATCAAAGGCTGCAATGTCTCCCAGCCCATATTACCTTTAAAACCCTAAACGGCTCGGGTCCAGGCTATTTGACCAAACGCATCTCCTCTTACAAACCAGCCCGGGCACTGCGGTCATCAGAGGAGGCCCTGCTCCTGGTCCCACCCAATCCCAAGCATGGATGGTGAGAGAAGGCCTTCTCTGTGGTCACCCCCCACCTCCGGAACTCCCTCCTTGAAGAAATAAAGCTGCCCCCCTCCCTCCTCTCCTTCTGCTCATTAGCATATGGAGAGGAGGACGATTAGATGGTCGAGAGATCACTGACGACCTCTGGTTGAAAACTATTTGTATTTGGGCTTTCCTGGTCCACACCAGCCCAATGACCTCATATGGCTACATAACCAACCCACACCATTTTGTGAACCTTTACTGGATGTTGTACACTAATGTGGAAGTTTTGTTTAGAATTGTGTTATTAAAGAATTTTGACTGATTATGTGTAGTTTACTTTATTGATATCAGGTTTAATTTACTGATGCTAGGTCTGAATTTGATGTTAGGTTTTAATGTTACTTTTTATATGTGTGGTTTTTCTGGGATTTTATGTTAGTATTGTGTGTTTTATGTAGGCATTGAATGTTTGCCATTGTTATATTGGAATCCACCCTGAGTCCCCTTGGGGAGATAGGGCGGAATATAAATAAAGTTGTTGTTATTGTTGTTGTTGTTATCATCCTCCTCCTCCTTGGGAACAAGTTCAGTCAATGTCATAGGACCTATTTTTGAGCAGGAAATCAAATGATGTCGATCTTTTAGCCATTTATCTAATGCTGGAATAACACTAAGAAGCTATTACAGGTGTACTGGTAGTTTAAGAATAAAAGTCTTTTGCATTGAGTATATAGGCTGTAGCTACTGAGCTTCACTGCCATTTTTCATCCTGATTTCATACATGTTGAGGTGGAATGGTTTTACAGTCGCTAGCTTCATTTCAATTGTTACTATTGGTTTTTCACCTTTATCCCATCTGAAGCGTGGGTCTGTGTCAGGAGAAAGGTGGGCTATCAAACAATCAAATACGTAGCCAGATGTTGCCTCCATGATTGGAGGGAAAAGTCAGAGGTCGACCACAAGGCCTAGGTAAAATACCATCATGCAAATGGAAAACGATTCTGAATCGAGGAAAAATGTTGAAGCTGCAGAGTCACAAATCACTTGAGAATCTCAAGGAAAAGCAGACTGCGCATTATCACAACATTTTGATCCTACTGTTAACTCACTGGCATGTCACATATGTCACAAATAGGATGCCAACCATTATGTCCTCCACAAGAGATATGTTCCAAGACCCCCCCATGGATAATTGCAAGCCCTATATTTTGATAGTACTTGAGCTGGAAACGTGCCATAGAATTGCACTGGAGGACCCAGAGAGGACCAGAAACATACATTTTTGGAGCATGAGTCTATCTGCGGATACTGAATTTGTGGAGAAGGTTGTACTGTACCTTTCCTCTCATTGTTACAGGGTTTATATCCAGACAATATCATATCCCACTCTGCCAGATTTCTGTTATGCTCTCTGGCTACATCATTTCTTAAACCCAAGCTCAAGTTCCTTTATTTTGACTTGGAAACAACTGGTCTTAGCACAGAAACTCTTATACACTCCATGCATGCATAAAATATATAATAATGATTGAGCAAAAAACTTTGTCCACTTTATGCCTGGTACTCTGACACAGGGATAAGTCAAGCAGGGTTGGAAAACCGTAACTGCACATTGTACACTCTACATGATGGCTGTGTGTGCTACGATTTGCATATAGTTGTGGTCAGACATAGCTACGATTCTGTATGTAGTTTGTGTAGTGTTCTCTGAGCCCAGTTTGAGCCCAAAGAATTCAATGGCGATAAAGTGTGGACGTCGACTGGAGATTGCAAGATGTCCGCAAACATGTTTACATAAATGACAAACTCCTATCGGCAGGGAAGGGCGCTTAGGTATGAAAAAGCATGGAGTTCTGCCACAGGATGCGGTGTGACTCGGGTGAACAACCTGGAAAGGCAGGGCTGTTGACAAGCCCCAAAAATAGCGACTTCTTTCCAAGACGGATGGCATGGGCGATATTCCTCCCATCCATAGGCCCCCACTCGATGTCTGCTCCTGTCTGCCGTCTAATTAATGGGAGCTGTCACTCGGGGAGGAAGAACGTTTTCTCCTCCTCTGCCTTGAGAAGACTTCTGCAAACCTCCAGTCATGGCGGCACAAGAAGCTTGCCAATTAGAGCAACAGCTGCCAAAGCGGGGGGGGGGGGGGGGGGGGGGAAGGAGGAGAAGATGGCAAGAGAGCACCTGTATCCAAGCAACTGGCCTGATGAAGCATTAGCGACAGTAGCAACAAGGGTTGGCAGAGAATGCCAGCATCCCAAGCGGCGGCACACTCTTTCTTGCTGTTCCACACCCTCCAATCGTACCTCCTCCGGCTATGAAGAAAGCCGGATCTGCTGAGCAAAGGAAGGAAGCCACAGGGTGGCAGAGGAGAGATAGGGACTTTCAAAGGCCAAACCTGAAAAGGGCTGAATTGAAGAGAAAGCCACGGGGTTCTGTTCTGAGAGTCAACTCCCCCTCTCCTTTTCCTTGCTTTCAAGGCCAAAGGAAGCAAAGCAGAGGGATTTATGGCTGGCGGAATCTCAGTGCAAGTTACCGGGTCTGACTTGGCAGGGCAATCGGAAACACGGAGGCATTGTGATATGCAGAGAGCATAATAGCAATACTCCGTTGATCTTCTGCCTCTGGCTTTGGGAAGCTTCCCCTGTCCCACTGCTGCCACAAAACATGGGGAGCTCAATTTGTTCCTGCAGCTATGGTGACATATGTGGAGACTTTCTAGATGTCCCCATAGCTCCTATATGAGACTTGACTCTCATATTTCCACCTCTGGACTTCAATCCTGCCAATGTGCTTGACAAACTCTTGACCTCAATACTATACCACATCTTGCCTTCTAGGCCTCTGCCACCACTGCTTCACTTACTTTGTGATCAATGGAAACCTGAATGGAACAACTTAAAAGATCTTAACTCTTAACATCTGGGCAGACCAAGTCCCTATCCTGCTCTAATATCAATACATCACATGCCTTTTTTGTTGGTTACTTTGATAGCCCTCTGCAGAAATGTCTTTTAAAGACTTTACGCTAAGAGCTATGGGCCAGAATGCTTATGTGACCTTCCACGCGTGGCACTGATCATTTGTCAGTGTTTATTTTTGCAGGAGGCCATTACTAAAGCCCCGCCAGCTGTAAATCATGACATTTGGGTCCACATTTGATGTCTGTGCTGCAAAAGAGTTAATCTAATGCTCCAGTTAATGAGGGTATGAAGACCAAAGGAGCTATGGCATACAAGGGGCATACAAATGGAGCTCAGCGTTAATTTAAACCAGCTCTGTTCATCTTTCAAGTGTCTCCTCTGGGCATCAGTGGATGTATGGCATCCCCCCTGGCCTCTGCAAAGAAAAGTAAGGCATATACCAGTCTAGTGAAAACACAAGCTTCATTGTCTTAAAATACGTTTGAATACTGTACTCTTATTTCCTATAAAAACAGTTATTATACAAATGGTAACAAAACAAAGGGATGGCTATCCTCCTTCTGTGGTATAATGGTAAACAATTGGTCTTCTATGGACATTGACATAAGTTGAAACATCATCTTTCTTACCTTGTGTGCAAAAGCTCTTTGTGGATGGTCTTCAGATCCTTTTCTAAGTTTTTAAAGTTTGAGAGACTCTTTTTCGGTGGCTGCAGAGGATGACAGAACGATGCAGAAATGCAATGAACCTTTCCCTGGGGTGGCCACTTCTCAGACGGAAAGAGCAAGTTTTTAAATGAGGCTCAGTTTCCTGTTGCAAAAATATGCTTGCCACTTTTCTGTTTGACACAGACATTGCCTTCCATCCAGGGATGGGACAACCTGTCACTCTGAGTCCTCCCAATTCAGCAGAGTGCCACCATTTTGTAGCCTTCATGATCATCACTCAATATATAGCAGAGGGTGGGCAAATGGCACAAGAATGGGGTCCACTTTTATGCCTCAAGACTCTCTAGAGGCCACATGGGGGAGAAAAACACACCAAAGTGTCTGGAAGTCCACTTAGTCTCCAAAAATGTCAACTTTTAAAATGTTAAATACAGGGATGGCTGGTGACCTATTTCAAAGGCAAAATGTTGTGCCTGGAGGCATCCAATTCACCTTTTTTTGGATAGAAATACATAACATCCTTGGAGGCTGCATGTGGCCCAAGGGGTGTATGTTACCCACCCTGATAGATAATAAATCCTCTGTATCCTATGAAAAATTAAATGCAGATGAGTGGACCAAGTTTCCCAAGATGAAGCTGCCTCCCAATTGGGAAACTGCTGGCTTTAGTCAAGCACCTCCATCAGCTACTCAGTGAACCCATTACCTTTTCTTTTGGTTTTGGCTTCTTCACTCTAACTGAATCATCTGGCTTAATGCTCTCTGTGTAGGAGACTTCCTCTCTCAAGAGTTCCTGGAAGATAAGGCAAGAGGAGTCATTAGTTAAGAACCAATGGCATTCTGATGGTGGGGCGACATCCACACAGATGTGCTGGTGCTAATATACTAGTCTCCATACTGGAATACATCAAGGTAGGGTGGAGAACATATAAACCTCCCATACAATGCCCAGCAACTCCAACCAGCATGGCAAATACAGAGGGGAGATGGGTGTTGTGGGCCAACCACAGACCGAGGGCAACCTCCTTCCAATATTAAGGGATAGGAGGATACGATGGATACGATGGAACGTTACCTTAGGATGTCCATGAACAAATGGCATTTTAAGGGAGAAATGAAATACAGATAGGATTCCAGTATTGTCAGTTGTGGGCCACTTTCAGACTCAAACATTAGGCAATATCATCATAGGTCATCCCTTGTGGCCCATGAGTCCGATTGTCTTCCAGGGGTAGAGTCTTGGTGGTGGGTCCACAAGTGACTGCAGAGGCCTGTTCTGGATCTGCATGGTCTTTCTTTGACAAGGACATAGATTTCCAGATGGAAGGCGGTCTTGACAAGGGTTTGCTTGAGGCGCCTTCTTCTTCTTGGCATGTTTTTCCCTTTTGCCCTCCATTCATGCCTCTTCAAAAACCCCCAGCACTGTTGGTAACAGCTGACCTACAGTTAAACGCTTGAGGGCCAGGGCTTTCCAGTTCTTGGTGTTTATTCCACGTTTTTTTCAATGTTAGCGTTAAGCCCATCTTTATATCTCTTTTGCTGTCCACTGACATTCTGTTTTCTGTTCTTGAGCTGACAGTCAAGTAACTGCTTTGGGAGACGGTGATCATGCCTTCCTAGAAACCCATAGCCACATAGAAGAAACTTGTATTATGGATCCTTCCCAAAGCATTGCTATCTTTCCTGTAAACTGGAGCAACGAAGGATATCAGAAGGCCGTGGTCACACAATGTTCCCCAGGGGAGCCATGCTTCACCAACTTCCCTGTCGCCGGCTAAAGACCAGGTCAAAAATAGCCACAGCTGTTCTGATCAGCCAACCAGGTGTCAAAAACAAAGAGGGTTGACTCCAAATACTAGTCTCTAGAGAAGGTATGTTTTGGACGAGGGTCCTCCGAACCTCCAGCTTGTGTGGCTTTTGCTCAGGTTGGTTGGGAGACCTGCAGACCCCCAAAAGTAACTTCTCCAAGCCCTGAGAGGAGAACCACTAGATGGAGCCTGGTGCTGCCTAATGCAGCATTGGTCTTCCTCCTTGAAAAGCTGTTTTAAAGGCCTCGGACACAAAGGCGGGGATCAAAACGAATCTGGGCCGTGTGCCTTTGGCAGGTAGCCACAGGACAGGCCCTCCTGGGTCAGCAGCAAATGAACAATCAGTTCAGTAGAAATGAAGACGTCCACTTGTAAATAACAGCAATCAGTCCTCTTGAAACTGCCTTGGAATTTGGCAGGTTGATGCCTGTCTTCCTTGGAAAAAGCTGCTTTTTACAGGCACCGATGGACTCCCAGGGTGGTCATTGCCTTTCACGCTTCTCCCCGCTTCCGTCACTAACAGCACCAATTGCTTTGATATGACCCTTCTCAATTTGCCTCGAGCAAGAAAAATCTGGATTTTCCATTTGGATGATTGGACTAAAATTGCTCTGTTGAGACTGCAAATAAAAATTAAACAGAACGCAGGTGGTTCTTGTTTTTGCCTTTTAATGTGGTTGCAGTTTGTTGCTCGATACCTTCGAGTCGGCTTCGACCCAAAGACACAGAAGGCTCCTCTCCCAAAAACGATTCCCTTCTTTGGCTATTCCTCCTCGAATAAGTAGGTTCATTAAAAATATTATGCAGGTTTTGGGGCGTGAATTCGAGATAGTATCTCACTCCTATTTATGGTATATTTGGATGACCAAATGGTGAGTTTTGGCCCATCAAATCTATGCAAACATGAAAGCAAGACGCATGCTTTGCAATAAATACATGAAGAGAATAAAAAGGAAACCACAAATACCAAACAGCGTTGCAAGTCATAATTCCACAACAAAGTCCTTATTCCACACGCAGGTTTGTTAATTGAAAAAGGGAGAGGACAAAAAGACGCTCTATTTTGTCTGCCTTCACAAGCGCTTTTTAACTTACAATGTACATCTTCCCAAGAGGCTCTTAATATATGAATCATTAATGCTAACTGCTAATGTCTCCCTTTGCATTTTTGTTCACAGCTTCCCGTTTCATTATTATTATTATTTGAAACACAACAAGATGAGTCCACTGCAGACAAGATCACTCTGCTGGCTGTTGTATTAGATCACATGTCAGACACTTCCCAAGTGTCTAGGACTGTGTGATGTATCAGCAAATAATGCAGGCAGATCCCAGTAAGATGGCCTTTTGCAGCTGCAAATGGTAATTTTGTCAGCATCGAATGTGTTTAAGTGCAGGCCAAGGTCTTTAGGCACTGCACCCAGTGTGCCAATCACCACTGGGACCACCTTGACTGGCTTGTGTCAGAGTCTTTGCAGTTCGATCTTTAAATCCTCATATCGTGTCAGCTTTTCCAGTTGTTAATCTTCAATCTTCTTGTCACCTGGGATTGCAACATCTACAATCTATACTTTGTTTTTTAACACGATCGTGAGGTCAGGAGTATTGTGGTCCAAAACTCTGTCTGTCTGAATTCGGAAGTCCCAGAGGAGTTTGACGTGTTCATGTTCTGTAACATTTTCCGGCCTGTGATCCCACCAGTTCTTTGTTGCAGGCAGGTGGTGTTTGTGGCACAGGTTCCAATGAATCATCTGAGCAAGTGTTACGCCTCTGCTTGTAGTCTGTGTGCGTGATCTTCTTGCAGCAGCTGAGGATGTGATCTATTGTTTCATCTGCTTCCTTTCAGAGTCTCTATTATTATTATTATTATTATTATTATTATTATTATTATACTCTCACATTTCTGGAAATAGGAAAGCTTAATTAAACTAACAAACTGAGGAGAGCAAAATGGGGGAATCAATTAGATAAGCTGAAAAAGGCCTGGATTATGTTGAGCTGGGAAGAGAAAAAGCAAACTATGAAGGACTACATCCTACTGAACACAGGGGAGCCTTATGAGTAAATATATTTAAGGATCAATTTGTGAGGCCCATGGACTTGAACTGTTTTTGATGGCCTTCCTAGTGTGATCCACTCTACGTTCTGCTTTTCGCATCAGTTTGGATTTCATCATTATCGGCTGTTTCAATATTCATTTGAAATCATCTATATCCTGTGTATAGCTATTAATTGGTCGGTGAGTCAGTTGATCAGTATCCTAGAAGCACCCACAGATCCACAGATCTTTATTACATCTGAATTAGGTTTCTACCTTGCTTTAATACCTTCCAGAAATCTAGGGGCTTTCAAAAGCTGGATGCTGACCATAGTATCATACTGGAGAATCTATAAATGACTAGAGCGGTGTTCTCTCAAGAAATCTCCAGGTTCTCCATGGGGAAGATCACACTGGAGGACCTTGAGGTTTCTGCATCAAATCTGTGAAGAATCCAATCTGCATAAGTCAAAACTGCAAATATGGACGGATGACCACTCTTAAAACACCTGGGAAAACTCTGGCCCAACATCTTATCTCCTGCAACCCCTCCCAGGCCTCTCCCATTGCCTGCCATTACCTGCCACTGGCTGTAAATCCCTCTCACCTGCAAAGCCCCTGCTTCTTGTGCAGTTCCAATGAATTTAACAGGACCGCTTTGCAGTAAATTAGTTCTGGACTGCTGCCTTTCCGAATTAAAATGCAAGCGCCGTTCCTGGCATAAATCCAATTAGTGCCATTCTTACATTTCGGCTTAGACTCCCTGAATTATTTCAGCCAGCCTTGGTTCCTTGCCCAGCCAAAGTATCTGAAAAGAACAGGATTTCCCCCCCTGTGTATTCCTATGAGCCAGGGCTTTCTTTTCTCTCCATTTTCCCACCTGCCAAAAGAGGAAAAAACCCACCCTATTGTACAGACCAAGCTTTTCTTTCTGCTTCTAGGATCCTGGTTTGGCTTTGTTTGTCTCATTTCCATAGCCATTAGGAGGAGTGTCAAAGATAACCCTCACTCAATCTTCCATTTGTTCCATGTTCCAGACGAAACGCTTCCGTTCCTTGGCCGAGGTTTTTGCCTTATCTGTCCTGTTCAGGGTCTGGCTATCTATCCGCCCAGCACTCCAGAGGAAAGGTATATAAGTGCTGCTCTTATAAAAACCTTGTTTTGTCAGAAGCACATTTGTGAAGCCATCTTTGGAACCATGACAGATTTTGCTGGTGTTTGGGCTGGTTTTGGACAGGGCTGCCCAAAATAGTAATAATAATGGGAACCTTGGGCTGTGTGTGTGACGTCTAAGTGTGCTTGGTGCTGGATGGATGTGAATTAGACTCTTTTGCAAAATTTTCTGAATATATGCAATAGTCATAACTCATCAGGAAACTGGAGTAGACGTCTCAACATTGGATGCCATATTTTGGGTGGTTGTTCAAGCTGCAGGGAACTATTTCCCAACAAATTCATAGAATCCACCATTAACCTATTGAGAAATTATCTTTGAAAGGCTTTTAGACAGCAACTGGGGTTTCAAAAGTGGTTGACAAATAAGAGATCCTTTCCAAGAGACTATTGGTGAGACTATTGGTAAGACTATAGACAAAAAAGTGGCTCTATGGGTCCAGGAAGTGCTTCGAACACCTCTATTAATAATAAATACATCAGGGCTTGGGAAAGCTCATATTTAGGACTGTAAGTCTATGAATTACATTGCTAGGAACAGTAGCTTTTCAGAGATGCCCATCAGAGGCATGGTACCTATCTTAAGATAGAATTCGAGTACTCAATACACTCTAAAATACTCTCATCTGGCAATAACAACACGTGTCTTTGTTCAATCTTGCTTGGATTATAGTCACAGATGAGGTTACAAATACAGATTTTTTAAAATCTTGATCTAGCTCCGGACTGCTCACGTTAAGAGACACTCCTGAAATTTTCCTTATGCCACCTAGA